TGTTGACTTGGACCAGTGTGGCGGTAGAGAAGGTCATCAGAAAGTGGTAGAATTTGGGTAAAGTTAGGGCCGAGACCATGGCGCACTTGGGAGAGTGTGGCGCTGGGAGCGCAGCAGCGTTCCCTCCACGGGTTCGGATCCTATATAGGGATGGCTGGCGTGCTCACTAGCTGAGCGCGGTGCGGCCGGTCTCAAAAAGGACAAAAAAAAAAGAATTTGGGTAAAGTTAGTGCTGACTGAGTTGTCTCAAGGTTTGGTGTCGGGTGTGGAAGTTGGCCCAAGTAACTGGAAGAGTGGAGTTTCATTAATTGAGATAGGGAAGACTTCAGGAGGAACTTGGATGAGGGTGGAACATGTTCTTCTTGAGATTCCTATTCATTCTCCAAATGAAAATTTCAGAGTAGGCAGCTGGTTTCAAAGATCTGAAGTTCAGGGGAATGGTTGGGCTGAAGATATAGCCAGTAATGTGCCACAAAAAGACTTTCGGCTAACAATGGACTGCATATACAATGGTAGTCCCATAAGATTATAATGGAGGGTTGGCCTGTTAGCTCATTTGGTTAGAGGGTGGTGCTGATAACATCAAGGTCAAGGATCCCCTTACCAGCCACACACACACACACACACAAATTAGAATGGAGCTGGAGGTATGTAGTGGATTATACCATTTAGGTTTGTGTAAATAGACTCTATAATGCTCACGCAATGATGAAATCTATCACCTAAGAAGCATTTCTCAGACAGTAAGGCATGACTGTATTTGTGAGTCATTACCACATCAATGGTATTTAAGGCCCTGAGAGTTAGTTAGGGCACATAACAAAGAGACTCAAGCCTGGATCCTGTGGTACTGTACTATGTAAAGGATAGGAAAAAGAGAAGGACCAGCAAAAGACTAAGAGCAGCCAACTGTGGTGTCTTAGAAGCCCAGAAGTGTTTCAAAGACAGAGTGATTGGTTTTGTCAAATGCTAATAGATCAATTAATTCACGAACTGCAAGATGACCAAATGATTTAGCAATGTGGTGATCCTTGTGACCTTAGAAAAATCCAGTTTAGGGCCGGCCCGGTGGTGAACTGGAGAGTGCACCGCTTGGGAGCGCGGTGGCGCTCCCGCCGAGGGTTCGGATCCCATGTGGAGACCGGTTCCTGCTCACTGGCTGAGCGTGGTGCGGGCACAACACCGAGGGTTGCGATCCCGTTACCGGTCAGTAAAAAAGACAAAAAGGAAAAAAAAAAAAAGAAAAACCCAGTTTAGTGGAGTGACGGGGATTGAGTGGGTTAGAGAAAATGAGAGGACAGAAATTAGAGATAGTGGTGCATACCACAGCCCTTTCTGATGTCAATCAGTTGTTCTTTCAAACTAATCAGAAGATGTATATTTTGACACTTTTAACAAATGGGTTCAAAACACTGAAACTCTTCGTACAGAAGGTTGTTAAGCAAATTAGAAAATTGTTTCCAAGTTTAAATGGACAAATATGGGAGTTTTGTGCTGTTTTTGGCAACAAAATATAGTCAATCCTTGTTATTTGTGAATTTCGTATTGGTGAATTCGCCTACTCACTAACATTTATTGGTAAACCCCAAACCAATAGTTTTCCCAGTCATTCACGGACATACACAGAAGACAAAAATATGAATTGCTTGATGCGCAGATTTCCAACTGAGGCCGAACAAGGTAATGCTCTGCCTTGTTTCATACCATGGTAAACAAGCATCCTTTCCTTGACCTTAATGCAACGTTTAATGAGTTAATGCAACGTTTTCCACATTTTTGTGCTTTTTATGTGTGCATTACTTTGCTCTTTAAAATGGTCCCCGAGTATAGTGCTAATGTGTTGTCTAATGTCCTTAAGTGCAAAGAAAGCTGTGACAAGCCTTACAAAGAGAATTACATGTGTTAGATTTGTTCACACACAAGTTACGGTGCTGGTAACTATGAGTTCAATGTTAACGAATCAACAATACATATTAAATAAGGTGTCTTTAAACAGAAACCGACATAAAACAATGTAATATATTGAAAGGTTCACAAAAATGGCCAGGGGCTCCAGGAACCTAACCCTGGATTTCCGCTAGCAGCAATGGTTCAGAACTCACTCAGTGTTTTCAACTTTGTAGAACATAACTACCCTGAACAAGGAGAAAAGACTGTAGCATAATATTTTCAAATATTCCTTCTTAAAATGTTGTCAAAAAAGTAGATACCTGGGGCCGGCCCGTGGCTCACTCAGTAGAGTGCGGTGCTGATAACACCAAGGCCGCAGGTTCGGATCCCATATAGGGATGGCCGGTTTGCTCACTGGCTGAGCGTGGTGCTGACAACACTAAGCCAAGGGCTGAGATCCCCTTACCGGTCATCTTTAAAAAAAAAAAAAAGGAGATACCTTCTCAACTCACTGTCGAATTGTCTTTACCTTGAAAGGTCAGATTTTTCGGGGGGGGGGGGGGAAATTTCTGCTACGAAGCATATACATTTGACAGCCACTTACAGAATACTATCAGCAAATTAGGAACACTTGTGTTTTTGCAAAATAAAAATATGCATTAGAACATATATATTAACTTTGTTTTGTTTTTTTTCAGTGGCTGGCCAGTATGGGGATCCGAACCCTTGACCTTGTGTTATAACATATATATTAACTTTAAAGACAGCAGTTACCTGTGGGGAGGAAATACAAGAATGAGAATGGTGCCTTCAATTGTGTCCGTAATGTCTGATTTCTTTTTTTTTTTTTTTTTGTCTTTTTCCGTGTCCGGCAACGGATCGCAACCCTCGGTGTTGCCCCCGCGCCTCGCTCAGCCAGTGAGCGGGAACCGGTCTGTATGTGGGATCTGAACCCTCGGCGGGAGGGCAGCCGCGCTTCCCAAGCGGCGCACTAGCGCAGTGCGCCACCGGGCCGGCCCGTAATGTCTGATTTCTTAAAAATACTAAGTAATTAAGACATTAGGATTCCCATATCAGCCAGCCACGCCAAAAAAAGAAAAAAAAAAAAAAAAAGGCAGGATACTTTAAATCTGAACAATAGGTAAATGGTTTCTATTAATATGTATCTGTAATTCAATCAGACTATTCAGTTGTAATGTTCGATATTCGCCGCCATCTGAAGGACAGCTCACGCTTGGCTGGCGATGCCACTAACCTCGTCAAAGGGTCAGGACAGGCTGCTGCAGTTCACAACAACTCGATGGACTTTAAGGCAGATTTACCGGCCACCCGAGTTGTGACCTAACCGCTTTTAAAGTTATGAATTGCAATCACGCAAAAAAAAAATATTAATAACAGCAGGAAACTACATGCACGTTTGGGGCGGTGAGAAAAGACACGTGCCGGTCACTCATCAAAAACTGGCGACTGCTGAGCACGTCCGGACCCCCTGGAGCCGGACTGGGCGCCTCAAAGCTAACGCAGCACACCAAGCGACATTCGCCAGGACCGGAAGCGGCAGCCCCCGCTGGGGGCGCTGCGGACACACGAGTCAAGGCTGCCTTCCAGGAAGCAAACAAAAAAAAAAAAAAAAGAAAGAAAGAAAAAAAAAAAAAGGAAAGAAAGAGAAAAAGGAGGGTTAACGGACAGCCGCGAGGTTGATCACATATT